GCCATGGTCTCCATTGTAGAGACTACCCTTGCGCAAGGAGGTCATGGAGGGCAGGATTGGGACACATGTCTGTGCCCGTTGGTGCAAGGAATCAGTGAGTCCTGCTCACTCTTCTTTCTGTGAGCCTCAGTTAACACGTGCAGGGCAGCCTCTTCCCAGGGAGCTGAGCTCTTCCTCTGCAGTCCACCCTAAGCCCAGTTCATCTTCAGAAAGTTCGTGGGGTTAGGGAAGCTGAGAAGAGGGATGTGTTTTATTAATATCTCTGTGCCTTGTGGTTTTAAACTTTCCACCTGGGTGCCTCCCCCCTTGCTCCCGCCCTGAGCAAGGGCTGCAGGTTCATTACAGACACTTTTAGTTGCAGCCCAGCTCCTGCTGCATTGTCACCTGAGTGGAAAAGCTGGAAAATAGGTCATTACACTTGGGCGAGCAGATCCCAGCCCCACACGATACAGCTGCTTCCTGCCTTCGCAGAACCCTTTCGCCACAAGGCTTTTTTGCCATGCTTAGCCCTGTGCTAAATCCTCGCAGCTCTGATGCCACTATGTCCACCCCCTTTTGGGGGCATCTATGCCCTGCAGCCTAGGAGGCAGTATGGCTGCCACAGAGGTAATAGCTGAGCAAAATGATCCAACTAGGAGCCCACCCTTTGGTCCTGGCACCTGGCGTGCAGTTCTCTGCAGTTGTGAGGTGCCTGTCTGCCGGGTGCCTCAGGACAGACTGAGCTCCCCATGTATACAGGTGGCACAAGAGCCCTCAAACTCCACCACCTTGTGTATGAGGCGGGGTGTCAGCACTTTTCCTGCTTACCTCAGCAACATGATCCAAACATCCAAAGTCCTGTCCCTGCAGGGCTAAATGCATCTCTGGATGCACTGTGAGCTCAATTCACATGGCTAGTTGCAAGTCCGTGGGGAGGAAGGAGTTGAAACAGGAGGAGCTTTTATAACGTGATTACTCTGCCCCTACTTCATTATCCTTCAGGCTTCCTGGTGGTCCTGGATTAGGCATCTCACAGCCGTTCTGCTCTTTGTGGAAAAATGAACTCAGCACTGCTTTTGGCACATGCATATAAGCTGCTGGTTTATTCCTTGGATGCAGAGAGGCATCCGCTTTCAGCTCAACCGTTGTCTCTTATATTGGCAAATCCGGTTCTGGGGAGAGACACGCCTCTCATGCATGCGGTTACACTGCCTTTTACATTGCAGCTCTGAAGGCTGATGAGATCAATGTACTTTTTGCAGTATATTTGCAAAGATATCCTATGTCAGCTTCCAGGATCTCTACCTTGGAAAGAAAAGACCTCCTTGCTCTGGTTTCACAAAGAAAAGTTGCATTGCATTTCAGGGGAGCTCTGACATAGGCCCCACAGAGCATTCAGAAAGTTAATGGGAGTCCGTACAAGAATCAGCAAAACTTGCAGCCACCTAGAAGAGGAGCAGGAACATGGCAGCCCCATGGCACAAGGCTCTTTGGCTCTTTGAATGGACTTTGCTGTGTCAAATTTGCTCACAAAAAATATCAGACAACTATGATCCACCATTCTTTCTGTCTGTCTAGCAGCAGAAAGTAGCAGCATACCTGATAGCTTCTCTAGGAGTTATTCCTCAGGCCTTTGGCACAGGCTTTGTCAGATAAATCAAATGCAAGCTTAGGGTGACTTTGCTTGAGTCGAACTTTCTTCCCAACCTGTCCTTTCTGCCTGGTCAGCTTTTCTCAGGAAGCAGGATGGGGAGCACCCTTCTTTGGGCTGAGAGACAAATGGAAGGGACTCCCAGGAGTTCATCTTAGAATTTGTACAAAGTAAACCTGCATCTGTGAGTCTGTGAAAGAAACTCTCAAAGGAGAAGCTGAGCATAACTCATGTAGCAATGCCTGTTTGAGTTTGAAAAGAGCTATAAACAGCTGCCTTTTCCTACTTGTCCTAATAAAGGCTTGATGCTTTCTGTATCAAGGGCATTGACTTTATTATTTGAGATTTGTACACAAAGGGGAGGACGTGTTAGAGCAGCCTGTGTGGCGGGGGAAGGATTGATCAATGAGGGAGGGAGCGGAAGGTACATGATTTAATGCTGGTGGATTGGGGTTACTAGGGTGACCTCAGCAGGTCTCACTGGTGTGTGCAAGGACTCTGCTTTCACATGTCTGGAAGCAGACAATAACAGCAAAATCATTGAGGTCAATACTGAGAAACATCACACATTGGAAAGGATTAAAAAATAATAACAAAAGTCCAACTGCAGAGGTGGTTGCAGCTGTGAACACAATAACGACTAACCAGAGAAAACCTTTTCTTACTGTCAAAGATAAATTCCAAGAAGCAGAATGCCTTGATGTCAACCCAAGGGACATGTGAGTATAAGTATGAGAAAAATAAAAACAACAAAGGAAAGAGGCAGTGGAGGAAGTTTTTGCTGATGCCAGAAACCATTTGTGAGTGTTTCTGCAGTCCACCTCTTGGAGAGGAAAAAAAAAGATTTCATGTAAGATTTCCTGTGAGAGCGGCCCCATTGATTCTCTGCCCTTGCTCCTCACCAGTTTTTCCTACATTTTGATTATATGGAGTTTGTGCAGAGAAAGAGCCCACGTTTCCTCGGTGGGGTTGTAACAACTCCAGCCTTGGAAGATACTGAACACTCTATGTTCAGCCAGAACTCTTGGTAAGTTATTCTGTGGGTGTCACTCCAGTTAAGCAATGATATCTCAACTCTTGAATCAATAGGGGAATGGAGGAACGGAGAGACGTCTCTGAGCATTTGAACCCTGTCCGTCGCCCATTTGAGACATGATGCAATAGATTTTTATTCTAGCAAGGCTGCACATGGCATTCAACAGCCTAGCTCACAGAACATTTCCCAACAGCCTACAGCAAACTGCAGCACTATAGAAAAGACCAACAGACACATCTCCACTTTATCACGGAAAGGAAGAAGAAGAAACTGATGACAGCACATCCCTTTATTAGCAGAGGTTCGTTTGGTAAAATTTCCAGATAATCCTAGGAAATGGAAGGATCCAGAAGAGAGCTAATCCCCTCCCCCTCTATTTTTCCTGTACCACTCCTCATACAGTCCCAGCAACCTGTCCTTGGGAAGATTTCCTCCTAACATTAAATTTGGGGTCAGTTTATCCTTTGGGGTCAGTTTATCCTTTACAACATGAGAAAGCAAACCAAACACAATACAGAGGATGAAATAAAGGGGGAAGGAGAGGGAGACAGAATTAGCATCCCAGGTATATATAGAAGCAGAAAATATGAAGTCCTTGAATTTTTAATACACTTGTAATGTCAAGGTGGTGCCATATGACTGAAGATTAGCAAATTAGTAGCTTTGCATTTAAGGAAGGCTTAAAGAAAATGGGATTTTGGCACCTGTGAATTTCTTGGTCTGTCAGATAGAATGCCAGCTTTGAGAATTTATTTATGGGAAAGAATAATGGCAGACAGGAAGGTAAATGATACATACCAAAGCCATTGGAGAGTAGATTAATTCAGTGTCTGTCTTTGTTAAAATAACTGGTTTTCTAGACAAGGGACATGCAGAAGGTAATTCTAGACTTCAGCAAAGCATTTGACATGAGAAATTGTTAGTTGAGAGTGGAAGAGAGAAATTAGCAGAGGAATTGTAAACGGAGGAGAGAATTGGCTGGTGCAGACATTAGTGCCTACATACTCTGCTGAAATGGGAAGTGGGGCCTAAGGGAGGTTATGAGCAGAATTTTCTGAGTCTAGTCTTTTGATTAAGGTTTACAGTAATGACCTGGACACAAAAGGTAGGAACATGCTAACAAAATGTGCTGAAGCCACATGGGGAAGGTGGTGTCATTACAAATGACCGAAATATCATGCAGTAAGAATAAGAACAACTAGATTATTTGACTAATACAGACAGAAAAAACTGTATTAGTAGGTTTTGGAGACTAACAGTAGGACTTTTATAAGCTGAGAATGGTTTAGTGGGAAACAAGAGAAGTGGCATCCCCTCCTTTGGGTATATAAATTGGCTATGAATTACCAGTGTGCAATGCATCACTGTGAAAGGAAAAGTGGTACCAGATGTATGAGGTGAAGGATTTCCAGCAGATAACAGGGAAGCATGGCACTGAAGTATGGTGGAAATGGAAAAGATTGTGTGGAATGGGTAGAAATGTATAAAATGAATAGGGGTTTGGACAGAATGAATTGTTGGGGACTCCTGGTGTTTGACTACATGGGCAGAGCTTTACCCAGCCTTGATGTTACAAGCCAGCTGATGTTGCAATGTTATTTCTGTGCAACAGCTTCCATTTCCTATTTTCTCTGAGCTGGCTCTGCTCTATAAAGACATAATGAATGTTCTTGCTGCAGTCATTGAGTGGGACTGAAGAGTGGTGAAGAAGGTACAGGTTGCAAATGGGGATGTACACTGGACAGAATGGAAGGTGGGGAGAGGAGAAGTGCAGGAACTGCCCAGTGAATAGAGATAAGAAAAGGATGGATAAGTGAGTAGTGAACAAATGCACATGCTGAGATGGAGGGATGAATGGACAATGTGTGAAGGATTATCAGATGACAGGAAAGGCAGAAATAGACAGATCTATATTTATATTGATATTGGTATTGATATAGGTGTCTAAATATCTATGTCAATATAGATGTCTAGATAGCTGTATCTATATAGATAGAGATAAATATCTATACATATATATACTTTCTCTGTATATATATGATGTATATGGTATGATATGAGAGAGATATATATCATGGTGTATATACACACACATGCATATATATATATATATACAGTTAGGGACAAGAATTGCTCACCTGCTGTAGAACGCAGGAATCACTTGTCTGAAATTACTGGCCATTTTTAGTATGATCTGGGCAGCTCTAATGATGTCTCAAGGCCTCTCCCATGGTACTTCCCTTGGGGACTGAGCCTTGGCACCGCAGTGAAGGAGCCTGCCTGGCATCCTTTGCAGCAGGAGGTGCTGATGAAGGCTGTGTCCCCCTCCCACAGCTGCGTGGTGGATGAGATGGACTTCTCAGGCATGGAGCTGGACGAAGCCCTGCGGAAATTCCAGGCCCACATCCGTGTGCAGGGGGAGGCGCAGAAGGTCGAGCGGCTAATTGAGGCTTTCAGGTAAGAGAATGATTCCCGCAGCCACACTGCTGCAACCAGGTGGAAGCAGAGAACACACCCAAGGCAGAAAACATGCAGCAGCCATGGAGCGAATGGCCAGGGACCTCCCTTCCAAAGAAGGTGATCATGGAGGGGCTTCTGAAGCACGGAGTCCTCTGTGCCACTGCTGTGGCAGAGCCGTGTCCCTGTCAGATGTTCAGTGGCATGAAGGGCACAAAGGGCCGGAGTGAGGCCAGTCCTGACATGTCTGCCAGCAAGGGACTCCCTGTTCATGGGTGACTCATGGGAAGAGCAGCACTGGGGCTTGCAGGGGTGCTGGGTTGCTCCCTTGGTGCATCCAGAGGAGTGCTTTGCCCTCAGCAAGGCAGGCTGGAGTAGACACCTCCTATATTACCCTTACGTAGTGACACCAGCCTGAGTTGTCCTCTCTAGTCTCACTTGCTCTTTTGGTTCCTGAGGACAAGAAGGCTGAAGTTTCAGTGGCCTACTTCAGCCATTGGTGGGTAAATTTGCCTTCAGAGAGCAGTCAGTTCCTTCTCATTTGTGGGAGAGGTGGAGTGAAAGGACGAATTTGATCCACTTGTGATGAAGCCATTGCCACCCTGGAGCAGAGGACTCTCATGTTCCGTTTTAAGTGTGTGCATCCCTCCTGCTGCAGCCAGAGGTACTGCATGTGTAACCCAGATGTGGTCCAGCAGTTTCACAACCCGGACACCATCTTCATCTTGGCCTTTGCAATCATCCTCCTCAATACGGACATGTACAGCCCCAACATCAAGCCTGACAGGAAGATGATGCTGGAGGACTTCATTCGCAATCTGAGAGGTGAGGGTCCCGGTTTGATTTTTTTGCCCTCTTGCTGCTCTAAATTCTGCCTAGGTGAAGGCAGCAAAAAACCTAGTGGAGCTGCCTTTCTTCAGCTGCTCCCTGTGAGCCAGACATGGAGGGCCCTTTGAGGTGTCTTCTACGATGCTGGGGAAGGGGAAAATCTAAGCTTTGTATTCTGCAGAAAGCTGTCCAGCCTTCTCAGAAACGTACCAGTTTCCTTGAGAGATGGTTTCATCTTTTAAGAGATCTCACTGCTTGGAAGCAGTCCATTGTATTACATTTTCCTATTGTTCAACTCCATCCTTCTTAGACCCTGCTGGATTGTGCTAAACAAGCCCTTCTCCTCCTTGCTGCTTTGAATATATAAACACATTTTTTCCTTCTATTCAGGCTAAACCTTCCCCTTCTTAATTGCTTGCAATTACTTATAGTAACTGTAGGCCTGACAAGGTCCACACATACATTACCTCTTCGCAATTTCCAATACATCAGTTCCCCACATCAATTTTCTTCTGTGTTTCAAGGTTGGTCCTTCCCATCTTGGTAATAGGTTGCTAAAAGAACTTTTTCAGATGTGGTCACAACATACTCATATACAGAGCCATCTGCCGCCTCCTTATTTTCAGATCTGCTAATGCAGCTTAGTATTGTTTGGCCTTTTTGACATTATGTCTAGACAAATTCTTGTCTAATTTCCCAGCCCTGTTCACTCCTAGGTCATCCTAGGTCAGCCATCTTCCAAGTGTCTCTTACTGCACATCTGCAATACAGATGAAGTTCCCTCAAAGTTTTTCCAGTGTAAATCCCTGCCTAGATTTTGAACTTCTGTGGGTTCCTTTGACTTGTTTCTTTGTCCTGACTGCTGTTCAGAAAGTGTCTTCTCAGCCTCCCACACCTTACCCAATTTGTCATCCACTTCAGACTGGTATAATGTGACACTGAGGCCATCTTTCAAGTTATTTCCTGAGATACTGAATGGGGCTGATACCTGCCATCATCCCCTTTGGTATCACAGCTGATAGCACTAACTCAAAACGTTTTTTTATGTTAACTTACACTTAGAGTTGCTTGAAAATCTGCCAGTTCACATCACAATGAATTCAGCCAACATGAGGATCATTCACCTCCAGTGTGTAACACACCACAACTCACTAGAGCGAGTGAATGTCACCCCGTTACAGACAAGGGGAGACAGTTCACTCCAGACTCACCTGCAGGCCAATGCCCAGGTGAGTAGCTTCACCAGCCTGTGTCTGAAAAAAGACAGTGTGTTCAGGCTACATTTGCGACGACGTGGATGAGGGAGCCAGGAGATGACAATGCCTCTCCATTCCTCAGCAGTTCCTCACCTGCATCATTCAGGGTAGCACATCTCAGAGTAGGGAGCTGGAGGGAAAGCAGAGAAAAGCAATATAAAATGACTGAAGGAATTCAGTTCAGAGGAAAGATTGGCAGTTTAATTTGTGGTGTTTGGCTCAGGGAAGGGTGAAAGAAAACTTTTCTGCCAGGCTCTGCAAGGGTCAGACGGCAAAATTTGGAGAGTTACCTAAGGAGATGTAAAAGGGGAAGGGGACAGGGCCAAGACAGAGATATCACAGACAGAGTAACAAGAAGGTATTGCTCCTAGGAGACATCACAGAAGGAAAATGATGGAGGCCGCCAAGCAAACAGGAGAGCTGACGCTTGCATTGGCAGGAGGAGCAGCTGGTTCCCATCATAGATCTCCTCCACATCTAGCACTTCTGATGATATGAAATCAATGCAGAGGTTGCTGCTGAGTGGCCTGAGATATATGAATGTGAAATTGTGGCTATAAAACCTTAGGGAACACATGGAAAGGAGCCACCATGCAGAGCAAAGGAATAATGAAATCTTCTGCATTGGCCTTAGAGATGTCAGTCTCTCCTGCTGGTGCATTAGGTGTGTTAGAGCAAGAAAGAAGACAGCCTAAAGTGAAATATTGCTCTTTCC